ACACCCACCCCAAGATGCCTGGACTTAGGGTTATACAGAATTGAGTTGGTGACAGCTGTGACTGCACAGATACACCATGGACATGTGCAGGGGAGTGCTGCAGGTGTGCCCGCACCAGAGCGGGTGGGGTGGCATCAGTGGCCAGAGGCTTGCCTGTGACAGTGTGAATGGTGTTTGTGACAGTGGAGCTTGTTGGGAAGATGTATATGTGCTGCATGGTAGCCCTGGGCTGGCCTACCCAATGCTCCCAGGGAAGGCTGTGTCTGCTATTGGGAAAATGTTGCACCCAAAGCCATTTTACCAGGCTGGGGCACCAACTGGATGGGGGGTCAAGGATTTAGGACGTTTTCTCTGGATCTGTGTTTCTTTGTTCCAAATCTGAAGAGAGAAAAAAGGATAATTCAGAGAAAGAAAAACAATATAGATGTTTGGCTTTTATTTCATATTCAATCAGTAATCAAATGGTCACAGACAAAGTTGGGTGCTTATTCACACAAACAGCTTTATAAATAAGAGAAGTGGGCAGTCAACTATGTAATGATTTTTGAGGGCTCTGAGAAGACCACTGCCCCCAAATCTCCTCTGTTGGTACCTGGCTTTCTGCCACTGGAGATTAATCCTTTGGACCATAGGCACATAAAAACATTCCTGGAAGGACTGACACCTTAAGTCTTAATGGACAAATAGGTAAGGATTAATTTCTAATGGTAAGACCTTGGGGCTTGGGAACTAGAGAATCTTCCAGCACATAGCCAGGATGTCGGGGAGAGACAATCTCTCCTTTTGCTCTCACTCCAACATATCGTTTATCTATTTTTGAGGTGCTTCTTGAATCTATTTTCTCTTTCCAAGTCCTTTTGATCCTTCTCAATGTCTACCTCAGCTTTGTATTAACTTTATATCTGATCTCTTTGTTTCCGGTCTCAGACCCAATCTTCCCATCCATCGTAATCTTTCCAAGCACTCTTTGAAGCACATTTCCTCTTATGTGCCTCTGATTTCTGCCCATTTCCCATATAACAGAATCTAGTCCCTTAGTGTGATTCACAAAAGCTTTCTCAGTCAAGCTACAAGCCACCACTCCAACCACTCCCCTGCCCCAACTCCGGCAGACTCGGCTCTCACCAAGTGAACACTGTTCCCCAAGCACGGTTCATATCCCTCCTTGACATTGCTCAAGCTGCACTCCCTCTGCTCGCCATGTCCTTCTCCAATCCCTCATTCATCAAAATCATTCATCCTTTAAGTCACTTTAACTAAAACTTCCACAGGGAGCCTTTCCTGGTCCTCCTGAACCAAGTTAATTTCCCCCTCCTTTGGGCTGCTGTGCATTGTACTCTGACCAACATTTATCATGGTCTGACTTCAGACATTAATGACATGAAAGTCTGTATATGTCTCCCTTTGGAAAACTCATACTCCTCCCGTTCTCTCACTGGCTTTGGGAAGGTCCATTTCTAAAAGACAGATTTCTTAGGGAATTGATTTTCAAGAGGCTGCCAGGGTACTCTAGCCAAGACACAGGTGATTTTTAGAAGTCTCATCTGAATCTTGTATATGAACTGCTGGACTCTGAACATAACTTGAAATAAAATTTTCTGTTTGGATAATTTCTGGTGAATGACCTGAAAGACACGGCTCCCACACAAGCAATATTTGGGATTCACAGTCCTTATTGGAGTCCTTAGTGTTCAACAAAGTAGCATAATGTGATCACCTCCCCAGGGAGAACCCAATGTGTGCAGTTTGGAAGGACTGACCAACATTCTCTGCTCTGCCACAGTAGCATAACCAGGGCTGCTTGGTTTTGGAGTTGTAAGAAAGGACTGTGGTTTCAAGGAAAGCAATCTCAGGCACTTCTGACCTGGGCCAAAGTGAGCATCAGTAGGAACTGAGAAAGATTCTGGGCTTTTTGAAATCACAAGGCAGGAAGGTCTGTGGCCTGCCATCACTGTTAAACCTGGACGTGAGGCCTGACCTCAGGCATCATCCACTCACTGAGCCCTGGACCTGGAAATCAGACCCCTGGTGCAGGTCTGTATTTGAATGCAGGGAGCTGACCCTGGAGACTTCCTGCCTATGGAGTCCTATGTATTGACTGTCAGTCTCCTTTGTTATGGAAATTTCTGTACATTGTTTTTTGCAGGTATAGAACAGAGATTTTACCCTAGAAACCCATCCCTTATTCACACCAAAGGCATCTTGAGCAAGAGCATAGTATAGGACATGCTTAACATATGATCAACTCACTTCCCATTGGACAGTGATAGAAAAATGCTATTTTAGAATGATTTTTTTTTTCAATCTCTGCTCTCAGGAAAGGTGTCAAAATGACACCTTTTTTTTTTAACAGCATTTTTATGAGAAGGATGAGGACCATGTAATCTGGGGACCTAGGGAGAGACTTGTTAGAAATTTTTATAATAGGGATTTTTTATAAAAGCAGGATTTCCTTTTTTCTTTCTTTTTCCTTTGGCAGAGCTGCTCCTTGAAGATTGCTGACAGCATCAAGTTTCTGTAGGTAAAGACCCTAGATGAACTTTGAGCACTCTTCTTTTGTTGAGAAAACTAAAGTAAGGTTGAGAATGAGGTTATTCTCATTTCAAATAACGATTCACTCATTGTATTTGAGATGATGAAGTCATCATTAAACTGAAAACAGATGTTGTGCATCAAAATAGTAAGTGTTCTGTTAGAAAAATTAAATGGTGCCTTTTTAGTTAGAATGAGGGGCCTATTTTCCCCAAATCTGAATTTAGTTAGGGCTGTTGATGTCCCACACATAGTATTATAGATCTAATAAGACAGCTGAGCACCAGGTTTGCTTTGTCAGGGTCATGAAGGTTGGGCCCCATCTGAGAAGGTGGAGAAGCAGGTGCAGTGCTTCCTTGGAGGAAATGTTCTTTTCTCACTGTCAATCATCCCAGGGCAGGAAAAGAGCTAGCCTTGGTCTGAGAAGAAAAGACTTCCTCTGCTCTCTGCACTTGGAGATATGGAGATGCCTGCAGATTTTTACTGGGCGCCTTGAGCTGGTGTTTGCTATATGTAAGCCTGCTTGGAGGTAGAAAAAGTCTCAAATTGGGATTTGGGTCTCAAAGTGTGTTCTTCTTCCTTCTTCAAACATTAAGCAGTGCTTTGAATGATTAAGAGAGTAGACCGTGTCCACGCTGACATGGGATCCACTGGGGTGGAGGTAGAGGGAAGAGCCGCCTGGAGAAAAGTCTCACGAGATGATGAAAAGTGGCCTGAGGAAGAGCACTGGCTCTGTGGAACTATTGGGTCCCATGGAGACCCACTGTGGCATATGAAATTCCCACAATTCACTTGGGGACATAACGATATTCTACATGATGAGCTTGCAGGTTCTTGTAAATTGAATATTAATGAAATGGTGTCTGTATTTTGTAATCCACAGGCTGGTGAGTCTGAGGACACATGGATGACATAATGAAGGACTTCCTAAAAATAACAGACCTGAAACTTTTGAAGTAGCACTTGAAATAACATTTGTACAATGACAACCACTGGTTTAATTAGCCATTTGACCATCCTTAGCTGTCTTTAAGGCTAAGAATTCTCAGCAATAGATTATTTAAATTTTAGATTTCATCAGAGCTAGGAAATAGCAACAAATCTGAAAATGGCCAGTTCCAATTTATACCTATATATCCATACACATATTCATCCATTTATTCATCCAACAACTATTTGTTGCCAAACACTGTGCTTACTAGAGGAATGCAGACCTTACTAAGACATTACCCTCCAGGGGCTTACATCTGAGAGAGTGAAGACAGGTAGGACTCTGCATCCCCTAGTCAGAGAGACAGGTTGTTTCTGGTTAATAACACAATTAGGCAAGCACCCCTCTCAGACTCTTTCCCAGGGGATTGTGTCACCCATGGAAACAGATGCACTTTTCCATAAACTTCCTTTTATTCCTATGATCCCCAGTGTCAGGGAGCTGCTGTAATAGGCCTGGCTGTTCTACTAGCCTACAGGTGCTCTACTGGTCCTTGATTTTGGCTTCCAACCAGAGGCTGTATCCTGAAATGACAGGCAAGGTTGAGACAAAGATGGAGCAGAACACCTAGAGTGCGTCGGCCAGACCAGCATTGCCCTCCAGTGGTCAAATGTAAGAAAGTGGGGACTGATGAATCCTTAGCATGAAGTCCTCAGATGGATGTCTGTGGATTAATGAGGGGATTCCGGGATGGCTCCCCAAGATGAGGGGTGGAAAAACGGAAATTGGGAGCCAGAGTTGAGAAGTGAAAGTGAGGATTAAGATTCATTAATGAGGGGGCACCTTGAGAGATAGGCATAGAGAGAATCAGAAACAAAGACGCTGTTAACTTCCTAAAACTTGGGTTTTGTCAGGAGAAATTGTAATTGTCTGGCAAGATGACCAGGCTCCCCTGGGGATTAGAAAGCATGGTGGTGGCAGTGGAGGAGTGGTTACCTAGAGCTGTGCATCCAGTCTTCTCAGTCCACCTTTTTTAAGGTTCTAGGGAGACTTTGATCTAGAATTACTACCTCCAGATTCAGGGGCAGTTCCGGAAGAAGCACAAATCTCCTGAATAAAATTGGAGGCAAACTTTTATGTATAGCAAACTTTTTTCATTAGATTTGAAAAGAGGTCTAGGTCATAAGAAGATTAAGTTGCATTTTTCCTGGGACTTAAATGGTTTCAGTCTCCTGTCTTACATATAGGTGGTTCAATAACTCGGCCTTAGAGGGGAGGTTTTTCTTAACTTCAGGGAGTTCCCCCACTTGGGTCAATTTTACAGAAAATGTCCAGCACAGAAGGACACTGTCTTGTCTCCCAGATCATGGATCTCTGTGAGTCAAGGCTGAAGCAGTGTTGGCAGCCAGTCTGCTCCTGGCAAAATCTGCAACTAGCACAACGTCTGCTTCTTTCCTTTTGTTTGACCTTTGCACACAGTGTCCATCAGCTGTATTACCACTTATCTTATTGGGTCATGGAAGCAATGGAGCTTCACCCCCTCCACCCTGAATCCTCCCCTGCTTTATTTCTTCGAGTTGACCTATGGCTTGACTTCCTGAACCTTCATCAAACTTGAAATCCTCTCTGTCCTTTCCCCTGTTGCTCTCCTACCCTGTTCCTCCGAAAAGATAGAGAAATGAGTCAGAGAAACTTCCTGGCCAAGTTAAAAAACAAAACAAAATTACCCGATGGCTAGCTCAGGAGCTGGATAACTATAGCATAATGTAGAAAAGGTTGAATTGCTCACAAAATTTTCTCTAAATTTCAAGCAGCTTCGACCTCTCTGTTGAAGACCTCAGTCTTTACCCGAGGCACAATTCAAATGGTGGTTCAAGGGCAGGAGGAATGAGAGTAGGATATCGAGGAAGGATGGACTCTGGATACCTTGGTGACAGCACTCTTGGGAGACACCACAGTTACAGTAGCTCTGTGCATGTGTGTGTAGCTCTGTGTGCATGTGTCTGTAGCTCTGTGTGCATGGGCGTGCAGTTAAAATGAAGCTTTGTGAAGTTAGTAACTGTCTTTCCAGTACTACCTCATAACCCCAGTGCCTCCAACAGAATAAACACTTGCTAATAAGCATATTGCCCCATAGTACAGTGGTTAAGAGATGATGCTTTGGAATCCAACCATCTAGAATTTTAGCTCTTCTACTGTAGTTCAATCTTAAGAAAGTTTCTTAGCCTTTCTGGCCTTAGGTTCCTCATCCATAAAACAGGGATAACAATAGCTGCCATCCCTCCCACACCCAGAACATTGATGAGGATTAGAGATGATGCATGTGAAGCCCCAGGCATTGTGCCTGACTCGTGGTCACTGCTCAGTAAAGAGGAGCTGTTTGTTATTTCCGTGTGTGGGTATGTGCAGATCTCTGGGTGTATAAGGGCTTTTCAGTCAAAGTCCAACTTAACTGCAAAATAAGATCAGCTTCATTTGAGAAAATGAAATGTGCAGGCACGGTGGGGAACTGATTCTCTTTCTACATGCCCTTTGCCACTCCCTTCTATAACCACGAGGATTTCACCCAAGTTTCCAGTGACCAATGTGCTCTTGAACACTGTCTGGGAAGGGAACACCCCTTGCATATAAATAAGCTTTCTGTTGAAATGGGCATGAAGGGGCTGTGGCTGACCCTCCTCTTCTGCTGTGTGGCCTGATGCTCATCTGACTGTCAGCACGGCTGTCTTCTGCTGTGGGTGATTGTGATCGACCCAATCTCAGGAGCCGCCAACACAAGGGAGACTTGGAGCCTTTGTATTCAATCATCATTGAGAGCCTGTTAGGAAGACAAGGTGCCATGTGGCCACTTGAAAGGCTGAGAGTCTGGAAATGGCCATGACAGAGGAAAATCCTTTTACTTGGCTGACAGGGGCCAGATCTGTGGCTTTAAGGCAATTGGCACAGATGCTGAGTGAGGGGGTGCATTCATTTTGTGCTCAATAAAACAACTTTCATTCAGGGATGTGAATTGTTATCTCCTCAGGAAAGGTGAAGGTACAGAAACAGGTTGTAACTTCTTGGAGAATCTAATTCCCTTGTAGCTGGAGACAGAAAGAGAGTGAGAGGGTGGGAGAGAGCTATGAAAGGATGCTCTGTTATCCTAGGAGGTCCTAGGTAATTACCCAGCCTGGATTTCTCCTGGAGCTTCAGGATGGTACCAGATGTGCCCAGGCCCTCTGTGCACCACCCCACAGAGCCAGCAACCAGAGTCCATCTCCTCCCCCTGTGGCTGTTCTTCACGTCTGGGAACACATCAAAGGAGGTTTGATATTCATAAACTGCTGTGAGTCATTTTCACATGGAGCTGCGGGGAGCTGCCTGTACTGCTGCATGCCATATTCAGCCCTTTGTGAGAGAAGCTGAGCTGAACCAATCTCCCATTATGGGTGAGAGTGGATTCCTCCTGGGAGATCTGGATTGGCCCCACACCCCTGTGCAGAATAAAATAGGCCTTCGTATTGAGAAGTAGTTATTAAAGCATCCCCCAGTCTTGGTTATGCACCTACACTGCCCATGGGGACAGCTCTGCATGGTCCTTCCACAAGAGTGTGGCCACCTTTAGGCCCTGCTGTTAGTGCCAGTAACATCTGAAACCTCCGTTTGCCTCGCTCTGAGGACAAAAGACATCGACAACACTCCGAAACCACTCCGTGTCTTTTCAATTGGAGGAGGAAATTCTGCTTGCTCCCATTGAGTTTGACTATTGTTGGAAAAAGTGTCCCATACGACTCTCCTTGAGGGCTGGCAAAGGACTGGGAAATTAGCCACAAGACTGCAGAGCTGGAATGGGCCTTAGTCATCATCCGGTTCTAGTCCCTCAAATTACAGATGATAAGTGAGGCACAGAGAGGTTAAGCGAGTTGTCTAAAGTCACACAGACAAATGAGCATTTCTAGCACAGGAAGCAATTTTCTAAGAGAGGGAGAGAACTACTGGTAGGGTGAGTCTTGCCTCGACTTTTTCACTGGGTTGACTCTATGGGAAAGCGATGGGGACCAGGAGAGTTATAGCTGATTTCAGTTTTACACCTCAGTTTCTCTGTATGAAAAATGGCTGTTTTATTTGCTTTCATTTCAGGACTGTTATGGTGCTTCATCAGTGACTCTGAGAAATCCTGGGAGTTTTGGGCTTTCAGGTTAATAAGAGAACAGTTTCTAGTTGAGCCTGAGAGGGGTACTGGTTGCTTGGACTGAATAATCTGTTCTCTGTTCCTCAGCTACCATGAAGGCCTTACCAAGCCCCTGGGTTTGGCAATGTGGAATAATTAAATAAAGGAATAGTTAGAGTGGTGGGGCTGGGGAAAAGTGTGAGGAGTGGGGAAATGGGTAGAATATAGTCAGAAAGTAGCAATCTCTGCCTGCTCTGGACCTGGGGATACTCTCTTAGGAAAGTTTGTCTTCCAAGTAAGGCTGTTTCTGCAGTCAGCAGGGCAGGTCCCCTTCCTTTTGTTTGGGGCAGCATAGAAAGTGTTTTCCTATCTATGTGCATTTGAATGCACTTTAGTTATGCTGTTTCTCTTCAATTTTGTTGGAGAAGCAAGTGTGGTTTGCTCTTTAAAATGCTCAGGGCTCCCTTTCCCTTTTGGGGTTGTGGTGAAAGGTCAGACCACAGAATTATCTCATGGTAATGGGGCTTCTGAATAAATGAGTCCCCAAGGACTGCCGGGGGACCAGAGAGCAGCAGACACCTGCTGGGGCTGAGCCTGGCAGCAGAAGCCACACAGTGTCCCCTGGCCCAGGAAAAGTGGCCCCAGAGGCTGCTCCTCATTTTCTGGCAACGCGCCCTGTCCCCAGGCGTGGCGAAGTCCCATGAGCCCAGGGGCCCACGTCCCGACATCAGTCTTCTTAACCGCCTTATTCTGTTATTACCTTGTCAACAACAGTATCCAGAGATCTAAAGGATAAGTCTGCATGATGATGCAGTGAATGACTGGTTAGGTGCCTCCTGTTTAATAACCAGAGAAATATTGCTGTGCGGCATCTCTCCATATGCTGTGGCATCTGTGTCTGGTATGTAAGGGACTAATTTTCTTCACATATCTCATTAAAGATGTAAAGCAAAATGGAGGGATTTCCAGCCCTACTCTGCCCAGCCCGCCTGCAAACTCACGTTTCTTACCATCTGCTGCCATCTAGTGGCCAC